CAGAATCTAAGTTGAATAAATAAAGTAATAATGAACAACAGCCCAAATGAGCAGCAAGATTTACTAAGGCTAGAACTTTACAAAGTAAAATAGCAAGCCATTCTTACAATGAAACACAAGAGCATCTCAGGCAACAGTAACAAAAGGACAACCAATTTGCATTGATTTGTGAAGTACACCCTGACAGAACTGTAGTTTATCCTTCTTTGCATGGTACTCATTCTGGTTTTCACTTTTACTATTGAGAGAATGTTGCTAAATAGAATGAATATTTGCCTTATACAGTTGAGCCAATGATTTGCCCCACATACCTGATAATCTAGTTCAGCCTCTTTCTACTTAAGGTGTTTTCCAGACTGCACAAATTTTTAATATACCCATTTAATTTTTTTTTCTTTTTGTGATTTTTCACTCCTTTCTTTGCATAATATACTGATCAAACCCACTTTTTTTTTCAGCACATGGTATTTTTGTGTGATAGAGATTAGTAAATTATGATTCTTAGATTATTTTTTTTGTTTCTTCCTCTAAGATCATGAGTGTGCAAGCACTCATCAAGAAAAATGATTATGAAATACAAGAAAATATTTTGCATTTTCATTGCATGCTGCTTTGAAACCAATTTCCTGTGTGAACTTCTTGTCATGAAGGCCAAATGGAAAAACTTGCTTTTCATTTTCATTCACTCATATGAATATGTGTGGGAAACTATCTCTCAATATTTTTTCAATTCTTTGGTGTCTGCATCACAGATTATTCACTTAAAAATTGCAGCCTTTTGATTGATTGTGCATTGTGGCTTTGTCCCTGTAACATGCAGTGTTGGCCAACACAGGACCTGTTTGTAGGAGAGGCTTCTTTTCCCCACGTTTAACAGTTAGGCCATTGGTGATGCAAGGCACAGCCAGGACACTTCCCTTCTCTGATTGATATAGGTCCTTCCATGCTCGTCTTGTACTATGTTCATAGACTATTTGTTTGTTGTTCCTCTTTTCAGCTCAGATCCTGAATTAATATCGCAATCTGTGCTCTTTTCTGTCTCCCCAAAAGTATTTTATTCTCATACTGTATTGATTTAATGAACATCGATGAGTAAGACTAAAATTAAAATCATGCCATTGTTTTATTTGAAAGCTTGCCATTTATCGCAAAACTCTTTCTTACAATTTATGAGTCCAAATGAGAATGAAACATTAGATTTCAGAGTCCACCGTTATTTGCTGTTTGGGATTCTGTCTCACCACAACACATGCTCCTCCGTTTTTGTCTTATCTAAATGCAAATTCTACTACAAACAAATGATTTTAATAGAAAAGGAAATTCTGTTTGGTTTTTTTTAAGGTGAAGATTTTAATAATTTGGGGTGGGACATATGGAGTATTGGGCTAGGTTTTCAAATGTAGTCTCCTATTGTTTAAGATAACTATCAAAAGGGATTTTTAAAGTTGCCTAATTTTTTTTTGTACTGAAGTGAATGCATTTTTGAGTGACAGTCTTTGAAACTCCATCCCTGTACAGCTGCATTGAAGGTTCTTAATTTATTTATGCTGTGGTACTGCCTATCATTGTTTTTAACTTTTTAATATCCAACTAAGGACATAATCATATCGTCATATCAGTGAATATCTTCTAGGCAGACCAGTTTATCTCATTTTCCTTATTCAGACTTTCTTGTGGGGAACTGTAAATTGTTTTATGGGACTGTCTAGAGCCAGTGAAGATTTGAGTTTGCCTCAAGGTTCCCATCCTGCTGAGAAGGGAAATTCTTGTCAGATTGTGGTTGGACTCGATGATCTCTGAGGTCCCTTCCAACCACTACGATTCTGTGATTGTTACTTAGTGATCCCCAAGTAGTAAAGGGCGGAGGGGAAGACATTTGATCCCCTGACAGCATGGTTGGGGATAAACAATGATTCTACAAATTGCTTCATCCACAAAGACAGACTAGGAGAAGTGCTGGTTCAAAGCTCCAGCTTCAAAGTGAGCACGGAGGGTGTTCTTCTAGGAGAAGTGCTGGTTCAAAGCTCCAGCTGCAGAGTGAGCACGGAGGGTGTTAGAAACAGTTGTTCTTACAACTCCCCAGGGTAGGAGAAAGCACTGGAAACAGATTTTTTTTTACTTTGCTCCACATCTAAATCTGTTGGGCCCACTGAGGCAGGTAGGCCCACCTGCAGGTGGGCAGGCCAGAGAAGACTGCTCACTCCTCTGCAGGGATGAAGGAGCAGGCTGGCCCTGTGGAGGAGAACTGCTGTGGGGCATAAACCTCTCTCCCTGCTGTGGTGCAGCCACCCGAGGCGTTTGGGGAGGTTGGTGCCCATGGGCAGCACACACCAGTGCTTACCCACTGTCTACAAGTATGTAGCCAAGGCCCCTGGGACTCAGTCCTGAACTGACTGTGTGCTGTCAGTACCCAAACACCGTGATTTCTTTGATATCTGCAGCTACAAGAGAAACCATTAGTGAGTGGATGAGCCTTAGCTAAGGTCTGCTCTTTGCTGAATAGTTAATAGCTGAGAATAAGAAGATTTTGTGGTGGAGATGGTATTTTGGGATTAGATTTGGATTTATTTTAGAGGTGGTGCTTTAATGGTAAAGCTCAGAAGAGCATCCTTTAGAAGCAGGAAATTCTGTGCCAATTCCTTTCATGAATCCAGCTGCAGTATCTGCACATTTATGGCTTAAATCTTATTTTGAAGCCTCCATTGCTTTATGCCTTAAAGTCGTGTTTTCCATAGTGATGGTATATGCTCAAAATGGCTACTGGACTGAAATCTTGTTCTCTGCCTTATAGAGTAAAGCAATGGAAAAGTTCCCTTCTCTGTCCTTTGGAGCTCCATCACTGTACTTATAATCAGATGTCTCTTGCTGAAAGTTAGGAGATAAAAGTAATTCAAAAAGCTTCAAGCTTTTACTTGTTAGATCAAAGGATGACTGACAAGATAGGGAAGATAAGACTTTAACTTTTCAATTAACAATGTCAGAATATTTCATCCTTTGCTGATTAATCGTCGCTTTGGACCAAGTAAATGATGCTTCATCCGAGTGAATGAATATGGCCATGTTTAAAATGATTTAGAGAACTGTCTGGCAATTTAATACAGATCAGTTGTAAAGTCCTGAATTTAATTGTAATGCGGATTATCATATTTCAGGCAATTAAAAGAACACACCCTAGTTTTTAAAGAGAGACTGAGTATAGGGTAGGTTGCTGGTTTGGACTCTGGTTCCCTGCTTATTTGGAGGCTGTCATGCCCATGGAAAAAGGACCCAGGGTACTGCCTTCTGTGTGCCATTTTCCCTGGCATCCTGTGCCCTCACTTCTTTGCTTATGTTTTATTCATCTCCAGTGCCCATTTTCCCTGGCATCCTGTGCCCTCACTCCTTTGCTTATGTTTTATTCATCTCCTTTACACTCAGCAAAGGGAAAAAGAAAGACAGGAATGAGGAGCTGGGCAGTGACAAACTGTTTCTTCAGGCCTTTAGTCACTCCTCAACTTGTTTAATGTATATTGTCTATAAAATTTGATCTCTTCCTCTGCATAATGAGAAAAGGAGCGTGTGTTTGAGTGCCTCAGCTGCTTGTTGTATTGAGAATGGAATGTTATTGCTAACAGATCCTGTGTTGGGGAGGGTGGCTGGGGGTTTGTAAGCTGCATCTACACAGACATGGCTAAATCCATTTCATCTTACTCCTCGGAGCATCTCCGTGGTGTTTCTGTTGCTGTTCATGTGCATGAAGGAGTCGGTGAACAGGAGAGTTGCATCACGGACCAGAGGCCTCAGGAGAATTTCTCCCTTCAAAGAAAGATTACTGACAGTCTATATGTCATTGAGCATCATTTGGTCTTTTAGGGGTTTATGAAGTTTGTCGGTGTATTTTTAAAGTAATTTTATGGGCAGCCAGTTCTTTCCAGTAAGGTTCCTTAGTGGATTTTTTTATCCTTTTAAAGAAAGCACTTTAGTTTTGGGAAAAAGAAAGGGATGGTGGGAGGCCCCAAGTACCAGGGGGGTGTTCCTCTGAGATAAACCACAGTCACAACGTGAAGCCAATGGGGCTCAGCAATCACAGTGACCAGCAGCTGGCACCAAAATCTTGGTGCCCAGCTACAGTTTGTTGTGTTTGAGGTGTGAAATTTGGTGATTCTGTTACGTATTTCACAAAGGTTATTGCTTTTATGCCATTGTGAACTCCATATTATTTCACTTCAAGGCTTAGCCTGGCCAGAAGAAAGAGTTATTGTGTATGTCACTTTCAGATTCATGTATTGACCTCAAAGTGTGTCATGCTTTTAGAAAATGATAAAGCCTCTTTTTACTTTAAAAACAACTAGCATTGCATGAATTATGCTGACATTCACAGTTTATGCCATGTATATTATGTTGAGACTTCTAAGGAATTAATGAATGTGTTTATATTACAAAGTAAGAGGAGTTTTTAATTTCAGCTTGCATATAGTTTCACCATGAAATGCATGGCATAGTTCTGCTCATACCGTGATATATACAATTGTGCAAGATGTGTTTTGAAAATAACCTTCCAATGATTGCTTGTTTACAGGGTTAGGATGTGGCTATAAGCATAGGCACTACAAAGTCTAAATAATTTGTTTCTGCTGGCACTGTTGATGCTGAGTCTGTCAGAGCTTTACTATGAGGAAAAGTGCTTCCTACAATAGCTCAGCAGCACATTCATATTCTGATGTCACTTTTAGCCTGCAAGTTAGAAGCTGATATATTATTGGAAAGAGGAAAAAAGTTAGGAAATACATCCTAGCTAACCTAACACTTTCAGGTTTTTGCTGTCGCTTTGCAAATTCTGGTTGATTTGGCTCCCCTCTCTGCATGAATTGTCTGAGATACCAAACAAACTCTGCTGTGTCTGCTTACTCTTTTATGCCTTCACAGAGTTCTCAATTCGTTCACTCTTCTCTCTCTCTCTTTGTTTCTCTCCTCTCTCTCTCTCTCTCTTTTTGGTGGGGTACCCTGAACCTCTCAAGCAGTGCAGGAGGCCGAACAGGAAGATGTAAAGATGGTAGTGGATGCCCAAGCTCCGAAACCAACTAAAAAAACCAAGGCAGCAGCTGCGAGCTGTCAGACTGGCAGCACCAGAAAGGAGAAAAAAGGGAAACACAAAGGTTAGCTGCATGTGGCTGAATGTCAGATGTTGAATTGACTGCAAAATACTTCTCTTTCTTTTCTCTTTTTTTTTTTTTTTTTTTTCCTTTGAATTTCTGAAAATTGCTTAAAAGCAATTTCTTGACACTTTTATGAGATGGGAAAATGTGAGTGACTTGGTCTTCTCTTGGCATGTACACCCTGGGAGTGAAGGATGGTGAAAATTTGTAAGCTGGGTCTTTTCCAAAGGAGAGTGTTTGTTCAGATTGCAGAGGAAGAAGAAAGTTCTGATGGAAAGATGCTGATGTTTTCCTGCAGTGTTAAAGAAATAAGAACCATTTTACACCAGTGTGCTTTTTTACACTATCTGCATGTAATATAATTTGGAGAAACAGCCTTAAATTGCAGTCATTTCTGTCCAGACCCTTACTGAGGTTTAAATTATACATATTAGAGGTTAAGTGGGCATTTTGAAATACAATTCAACAAAACCAAGATAACATCCTCAAAGGGGTTCTTCAAGTTGTTACTCTGGTGTTACTCTATCCCACCTGGTCGACACACGGAAGTTGTTTGCATGAAAAATTTTCTGCGATGACTTTGGGTGAGATTTTTTTTTTTTTTTTTTTCCTTTGAATTTCTGAAAATTGCTTAAAAGCAATTTCTTGACACTTTTATGAGATGGGAAAATGTGAGTGACTTGGTCTTCTCTTGGCATGTACACCCTGGGAGTGAAGGATGGTGAAAATTTGTAAGCTGGGTCTTTTCCAAAGGAGAGTGTTTGTTCAGATTGCAGAGGAAGAAGAAAGTTCTGATGGAAAGATGCTGATGTTTTCCGGCAGTGTTAAAGAAATAAGAACCATTTTACACCAGTGTGCTTTTTTACACTATCTGCATGTAATATACTTTGGAGAAACAGCCTTAAATTGCAGTCCTTTCTGTCCAGACTCTTACTGAGGTTTAAACTATACATATTAGAGGTTAAGTGGGCATTTTGAAATACAATTCAACAAAACCGAGATAACATCCTCAAAGGGGTTCTTCACATTCTTATTCCAGTGTTACTCTATCCCATCTGGTCGACGTATGGAAGTTGTTTGTATGAAAAATTTTCTGCGATGACTTTGGGTGAGATAATGCCAAAAGGGTTGGCAGAAATGTCATTATCGTTATTACATTTACTATTTGAATTACTGGGCATTTTGAAATACAATTCAACAAAACCAAGATAACATCCTCAAAGGGGTTCTTCAAGTTGTTACTCTGGTGTTACTCTATCCCACCTGGTCGACACACGGAAGTTGTTTGCATGAAAAATTTTCTGCGATGACTTTGGGTGAGATAATGACAAAAAGGTTGGCAGAAATGTCATTGTCATTATTACATTTACTATTTGAATTAGCTGGTCTAGATGGAGGAAGTAACATGAGCTACTTTAGAGGTATTCAATTTTTATATATGCACACTCATGACGAGAGGTTTTTGTACCACATGCAGTTTCTTTCTATCTCATGGTGAACAACTAATGAAATTAATAAATACCTTTCCAATAATTTTAATTTCTTAGATAAGGCCACTGTAACGCTACACTGCCTGGACTGTACCGTATTCCTGTCTTGTGTATGTCCAACAGTCTCTCCGTTATTGCTTAAATAACTAATGAAATTAATAAATACCTTTCCAATAATTTTAATTTCTTAGATAGGGCCGTATTCCTGTCTTATGTATGTCCAACAGTCTCTCCATTATTGCTTAAATGAGAAAATCATGTATATCCTTGACAAGTCTATTTAAAGATAGCTGTGACTAATAAGGGTAATTATTGAGGTCAAAGTATTGGGGCTTATCTATAGGGATTTCGCAGGACTTGAGCCTATCTTATCAAAATCCTTTACACACTGCAGCTTAATTCTTGAGATTTGAATCTACAGCATCTCTGTGTCTGTAGTTCCTCTGGCTGCAAAGGAAGCCCTAGGTTAGACAGGCTTTAGAGTCTGGCCCTGAGGTAAAGGCTTTATTCATATATTTGAAAAAAAAAAAAAAAAGATGGTGTCTGTCAGTGACTAGGCTTAAAATAATAAGTAAAAGAAAAGGTAAAATTAACTGAATGTAAAAATTGTTGGTAAAATAAGTGAACAGAAAGTTAATGTTTCTCCATTTAATGTAAAAAGTAGTTCCACTCCAGCATAGTAATACAGATGCCAAATTTTATTTTGAAGTACATCTTGCTGAAGAGTAAAAATTCTTTTACTAGCTTAAAAAACCCTGCATTAGGCTGTAATTGAGCGTGGTGCAGGGTAATACTTAAATCACGGTTACTGCATAACCTCGAGACTCTGTTTCTTTTCATACAATTCCTGTTTTGCCCTCCCTCACGGGGTGTCTGTGTCTGTACTATGTTCAGAATTTAAGATCTTGTGCTGGTCAGTTACAGTAGGTTTGATTTGACAGCTTTGCGTTGTATAGCACCAATGTGTGCGTGTGTACATTCTAAGTAGTTTTCTGAGAGCTCTTGACTAAAATATTCTGTGAATGAAATCCTGGCCACAGGTGGAGTGGGGCAGGGAGCAAGAAGCAGTTTTTGGTTGAGTGTGTGATTTCCAGGGCTGTTCTGCTGGTGATGTGTGTGCTGGGGCTGCCTTTGCTGCTGGGTAAGCTCTCTTTGAACCTGCCTGCTGGGTGGAGGCAAGTTAGCCCACGAGCAGCCTGTGCCTACTGTGAAGGACTTGCACAGATTTATATTATCTCACAGCAGGCAGCACCTAGTATTTTTCTCATAGGCTGATAATTTTTTATTCATTTTCTAAAAAATTCTGCACATAGGCAAGTGTTGGTATATTTTAATAGAAGCAAGTTGTCAGTAAAAGTTGTGTCACTTGCCAATTCTCTTTAACATCTTTATCAATGATCTGGACGAGGGGATCGAGTGCACCCTCAGTCAGTTCGCAGATGACACCAAGCTGGGTGGCAGTGTTGATCTGCTGGAGGGTAGAGAGGCTCTGCAGAGAGATCTGGACAGGCTGGATGGATGGGCCGAGACCAACAGGATGAGGTTCAACAAGGCCAAGTGCCAGGTCCTGCACTTGGGTCCCACCAACCCCCTGCAGCGCTCCAGGCTGGGGGCAGAGTGGCTGGAGCTGCCTGGCAGAAAAGGACCTGGGGGTGTTGGTCGCCTGTTGGCTGAACAGGAGCCAGCAGTGTGCCCAGGTGGCCAAGAAGGCCACCAGCATCCTGGCCTGTATCAGGAACAGCGTGGCGAGTAGGGCCCGAGAGGTGATTGTCCCCCTGTACTGGGCACTGGTGAGGCCTCACCTTGAGTACTGTGTCCAGTTTTGGGCCCCCTACCATAAAAAAGACATTGAGGTGCTGGAGTGGGTCCAGAGAAGGGCGACAAAGATGGTGAGGGGTCTGGAGAATAAGTCTTATGAGGAGAGGCTGAGGGAGCTGGGGTTATTCAGCCTGGAGAAGAGGAGGCTGAGGGGAGACCTTATTGCTCTCTCCAACTCCCTGAAAGGAGGGTGTAGAGAGGTGGGGGTCGGTCTCTTCTCCCAAGTCACAGGTGACAGGACAAGAGGAAATGGCCTCAAGTTGCGCCAGGGGAGGTTCAGGCTGGATATTAGGAAACATTTTTTCCCTGAAAGGGTTCTCAGCCATTGGAATGGGCTGCCCAGGGAGGTGGTTGAGGCCCCATCCCTGGAGGTGTTCAAAAGACGGGTTGCTGTAGTGCTGGGAGGTCTGGTTTAGTGATGATGCTCCTTGTTTGTTGTGCGGGTGTCTATTTTTGTCAGTCAGGTTGATGGTTGGACAAGATGATCTTTAAGGTCCCTTCCAACCTAGAAGATTCTGTGATTCTGAGAACTTGTGTGTTCTGACACTGCTCTATGTGTTGGGAACAAATATTGTTAGCTATAGAAACCTCTGCTTCTGCTGCAGTTCTTACAGCTCATTCCTCTGGCCTTCAGCATTTGCCCATCGATTGCATCTTTTGTATGTTTCCATGGAGTGGAGGTGTTATTCATCAACTATACTAAAGAAAATGTTGAGTTCCTCCTCTCCTGCAGCTTACCTTCAGGATAAATCTCAAGTAACAAACATCCCTGTCAGTTAAAGTGTGTTCAGAGCATACACATAGCACCGTCTCATCCAGCTCATCTACTTGGTCTGCTCACTGGTATTTAACTGTTCATTCGTGTATGATTTCACCCTTGGAATCCTATCTAGGTTACCTTTGCTATTGTTGTAAACTTGGAGTGTTTGCAGGCGTTTATAACTGGATTTCCAGTCTTGCATCCCTAGTGAAGCTGCAAAATGTTTTGTTATTGGATGAAAAAGTTAAAACCTAATTTGACTTTAAAATTCTGGAGGGATTTTACTGATCAATCCATTACAGACATAGCTCATTTGTGCTGCTTAGGAATGAAGAAAATGCAAGTGGTAGAAGAACCCTGTAGTGGAACTTGTATCCATTTCTCAGTTACTTCTAAAAGTAAGTGTGAGTCTTGGGAAAAGATTTTATAATAATATTGAATGGATTTGCTAAGAACTTCAGATCTGACCCTTGAAAATGGTTTAAATGGGTTTAAAATGCCATTTTGTGGCACGAAAGATTTTGTTGGAGGAAGATTGTTGGTAATTAGACCAAATCTTGGCAATTTTAGGTTCTGCTTTTAGCTTTGCAATTGCTTCAGGTTTTGTCTCCACTCTGACTACCCTGACTGTAACCTTTGCATGTCCTGGAAATGGGCAGGATGGATGCTGAGGGGTGAATGCACTTTACATGCTAAAATAGCATTTTAAAGGTTTCTGTTAGTATTTAGCTACAGTGAGCATTACCTTTCCAATCATAGCCAAGCTCTTTGTACTTTAAGAAAAAAAAACCCCTTTAGAACAGATCCTATGAATAACAAGATAATTCAGAGCAAAAATCATTGAATTATACATGAGTAGCTCTCGAAGCTGTACTGTAATGATTGTACTCGGGTCTTAGATGTGTAATGCTTTTTTAAGTGGCTCAAACGAA